GATATCCCACCTGTGGGTGGAGCTTGAGAAAAATGAATACACCTTTTCCACAGTGCCAAAGAAAGTAACAGACTTTGTCCCAACACCAACTGCATGCATCCCAGCAAGATTGAGCGAGTGATTGTTACATGGCACAAACATTGCTTTGGGATTCATATCCAAAATACGTTTTTGTACACCACTAATGTGTCCAGCCATAGTCGCAGCATTGTCGTATCCCTGGCCGTAGCAATTCTCTAGTTTAAGGCCATCAGCTTGCAACTTGTCACAAATTTGTTTTGTAATGACATCAGCTGATTTCCCATATAACTGAATAAAGTCAATGAAAGACTCTGTCACATGGACTCCTGAATCTTCAATATGCACATATCGAATCACTTGGGACATTTGGTCAGTGTGTGAAATATCAGGAGTACTATCAAACATTATAGCAAAATACTTGGCCTTTATGATATTTTGAAAGATGACTGTTCGAATGTGATCGCCGAGCAGGCTAATATACTCATTCTGGCTCTGTAGAGAGAGATAGGACACAATGTGCGTTGTACTCTGTGAAGATGTTGTTTGGCAACTGGGTCATATTTGGTGAGTAACTTGAAAGTTTCTAAGAAATTTCCACAGTTACCATCTGTATTTAAATCTTCAGAGTGACCACGTAAGGGTAAGGTTTGCCTGGCTAGATACAGAATACAATCAAGTATTCTGACTAAGATTGCCTTCCATTTTTCAAATGACCTCTGTTGTGCAAGCTGGGCAGCAGCATCAATAGTCTCCTGTTTATGCAGCCGCATTTCTAATTCTTTCCATATTGTAAATGCACTCAAGTGATATGAACTGCGCTCATGCTCTAGTAATCTAGGGCTTAACTTTCTCCATGCATTAAATCCACTTGACTTTCCAAATGAACTTTTCCCTTTAGCCTTCTGAAAAAGCATGCAAGGAAAGCAATATGCAGCATTGTTTACAGGAGAAAACACCAACCATGTCCTTAACATAGTCTCACTATTGTCCAAATGTAGGTAGAACCAATACTTGGAAAATGACCTGCCATTACTGTCTCTTGGAAACCATGCATCCTTATTCTGCAGTTCCTCTGTCCCTCGCCTGACAAGTTCAGTTTTCAAGGTTTCATCCATGGTTTCAGGCCAATAGCCAATATCAGTATAAACTTTTTGGTCAATATTTTCTGGCAGATTTGGCTGAGTATAAAAATCCTTAGATGAAACTCTCTCTGCTTCTAATGCAGGAACAGGAATGTCTACCGACACAGGATAAGGATTACGAGTCTCCTGTGGTGCTGCTGATGATGGTCCTGCTGTAATTTCAGCAGTACTCACCAAAAACCGGTGAAGGCTTCCAGCTAACTTAGCTTGTTGCTCTGTCTCTATCTTTCTCCTTTTCCTGCCTTGTGCACCAGATTCTTTTTTGTATGGCATGACATAGTAGTATTCTGCTAAAATTCTAAAAAAAGAAAAAAAAAGAAAATCACTTTCTTGCCTTGCTGCACTTTTAGCACCCCTTCATTGTACAACCATTTCTTTACTCTTAACATAATGTTTATTCACCTTCATGCCTATTGCCTTACTCTTTCAGCAAAAAAAATTAAATAAATTAAAGGTTGCGCCTAGACCCACTGGCTTACATCAACTTATGTTGAGCTGGAGCAGCTACATATGGATCGAAATCTGTCTCGTCACTGTTGAACCAACCAAACTTCAATCCATCTGGTCAGCTCAACATGCCAGTCTTGACCTGCAGACCGGGAACATCCCAAAGAAACTTCAGTTTGGGAGATGCTCTGCCTCTGCTAGCACTACACAGCCACCCCACTGAGCCCAGTACTACTCCAGTCAGTCCTGACTCCTACCTTTTTTTTCACCGGCTGTCCCGGACCCGATCACAGCAGTCAGCACTGACTCAGCAGGCTAGGTTTTCTCCTCCAGGTCCTCCTAGGTTTTCCTCCTGCAGCGTCTGTCACCACTGGCTCCCTCTCTCCTCTCTGGCCTGCCTGTGTCACCTGCCGCCGCTGCTAGCTTCTTCTTGCTGCTGCCTGGGCGGGTCTGGTGTGGTTCTCTCCCGCGCTCAGCGCTGCGCTGGGCGGCCGCTGCACTGTCCCTCCCCCAGATAGTCCCTCGCTCTCTCTTCGCACCCACCGCACCGCACACCTGGCACCCACCCCCCCTCCACAGTGGGCGGCGACCTGGAGGCTCGGATCGGATTCGCACAGCCAGCACTGCAGAGAGAGTGAGTGAGCCAGGCAGGGGCAGAGAGCTGCGAGTGCGAGCGCGCCCCCCCAGATGTTGCGCCCGGTGCGGCCGCCCCCCCCTGCAACCCCCACGCTACGCCTCTGCCTACAGCTGCACCTACCTCTTAACAAGAGTCATCTTTGTATGTGAGAACTTTCATTGTTGGGACGAGACTTTTTAGCACTGTTTGTTCAATTATATGTTTTTTCTATCATCTCCTGTTATCGCAATTTTGATGTGGTGCAGCTCTTCTCTCTCTTTTTTCTTGTGTTCTTTTATGTTTGTATATATGTTTCGTTTTGTGGGTGCCAGCAAGGGACGAGGAATGAGGTTGGGTTTTTCTTTTCCTGAATCAATGATATGGTCACATTCCTAACAGTGAACGTACAGGGACTTCATTCTAATTTTAAAAAGACAAATGGTGCTGAAAACGATGAAAAAGGAAGCTATAGATATATTAATGAATTAAGAAATCCATTGGTAAGCAAAAGGGGAGCAAAAATGGTGGAATAACAAATTTAGGCATGTTTACTCTGCATTTTTACCCAAAAATAAGAAGAGAGGAGTAGCCATTATTATGGCTAATACCTTACTGGTAGATGTTAAATATCAGAGTACAGATGCAGAAGGTCGCTATATAATCTTAGTGTGTGAGATAAATAGCCAGTTATTTACTTTAGTAAATGTTTATCTACCAAATGTATATATCCAGTACGTTTTCTTGAAAAGATTATAGAAGAAATTAAACATCACTTAGATAAAAAATATTTGTTAAATCATAGATAAAAATTCTATTAAGTAATTGAAAGAGTTAAATAAATGTATCAAAGGAGCAAACTTGGCAGACATTTGGAGAGTTTATCATACCAGTGAAAATGATTATACCAATTTTTCAAAGTACATTTATCATTTTCTCAAATTGATCTTTTTTTGGGTGACATGTCTATAGTCAGTAATACCAAAAGGATAAATAAAAGGATACATAAAGGATACATAAAAGATAATGTGTGATCAGACCACAGCCTCGTAATTCTAGAATTAAATAATGCGTTGAAAAAAACACCCAGAACTACATGGCGTCTGGATGATTATATTCTTAAGAAGAAATCATATATTGGGAGTCGGGGCCTGAAGTTGTGGGAGGGGCTATGTCCCTTTAAAAGGGACTCCCCCCCCTATCTAACTTACCTACTGGTCCAGACGTACTTCTGGACTTTCAGTTTCCCTGAATGGTTGCAGTGCTCAGCTCCTACCGACATCTCACCAGCTGCCTGGCTCGGCTAAATCTCTCTGCCTCCCAGCCCGCTCGTTGTCCCGCCTAACAGTTAGTGGGCAGACCGGCAGACCGGTATCATTTTAACGGTCTGCAGCATAGATTTAGCCCAGCCCGCCGAGGTCTACGGCTACACGGCACACCAGCAGACCACCCACGAACCAACACAGAGGTCTGAGTAGCCCAGCATGATCTACACCGACAGGTTTACCCGGTCACCGGGCGGCAGACCACACAGTGAGTACAGTCGGGTACAGGAATACATCGTCTGTATCTCACATTTAAAAGCATTAATTTACTACTCGCCAGGTTCTGGCTCCCCTCTCCCTACCCCCAGCAACAGATACCACGAAGGGCTCATCGGATCCCTACCCCTTGCCTTTACCCCCCTCCCTTTTTTTCTTCCCCCCCAACAAACCACAGGGGCACGGAGGAGTTTCACCAAGCACCCAAAAATACAGCTCACAAAATCTTCTATTACAAATTCTGGGTACCTCAAACTTTAGGTCCATGATAGGATCCAGCATAAGTAATCACCGGCACATTACGCCGGATCGTAACTCTTATCACCCCCAGCGTCGGGGCACCCAATTTTGCCACTAACACAATTCCCTGTCATACCCCGCAAAAAATCACTTAAACACATTCCTCCTCCCCCCAAACCCCCCACAAGAAGGGTCTTACTTACCCATCAGTAGTGATGTCGCGAACCCGAAATTTTCGGTTCGCGAACGGCGAACGCGAACTTCCGCAAATGTTCGCGAACCGGCGAACCGCCCGAAACGCCATTGACTTCAATGGGGAGGCGAATTTTAAAACACACAGGGACTCTTTCTGGCCACAATAGGGATGGAAAAGTTGTTTCAAGGGGACTAACACCTGGACTGTGGCATGCCGGAGGGGGATCCATGGCAAAACTCCCATGGAAAATTACACAGTTGATACAGAGTCTGGTTTTAATCCATAAAGGGCAGAAATCACCTAACATTCCTAAATCACAATGAATATGGATTGACACCTGACATATGACATATTGACACCTTGACATATGGATTGACACCTGTCCTCAGAGCCCCTGATGCACACGGACACAGAGCAGAATAGAGACTGCTCCCCCTACATAGGGTCACTTGGCAGATATGGATTGACACCTGTCCTAAGGATCCCTGATACACACTGACACAGAGCAGAATAGGGACTGTTCCCCCTACATCGGGTCACTTGGCAGATATGGATTGACACCTGTCCTAAGGTTCCCTGATACACACTGACACAGAGCAGAATAGGGACTGGTCCCCCTACATCGGGTCACTTGGCAGATATGGATTGACACCTTGTTACAAACTGCTATTTGTAACGGGCCCTTTAAATGGCAAATTGCCCTGCTTCCCTGGGTTGTGGAGAAGCCTATTTGCCAGCCTCCTCCCGCATGACTATGGCCCCTGGGAGATTGTGAAAATGTATGCACTTTTATTTGGTGTGTATGGCCCTTTAAGACTGTCGGTGGGCATATTGGGGCTTATGGACTCTTTATGTGACTGGTGCTGGCCCTTTAAACACCTTTTTTGGGACATCAGGAAGATTGGGACACTGCCCCTTTAAGGCCGTGTCCCCAGACTTGTTGGGGACACGGCCCCTTTAAGACGGTGTCCCCTGTGTCCCCAGACCTGGTGCAAACCCTTTGTGCCTGCCTTGCTATTTCCCACTTGGTTCAGTAAATGGGAAATTATTTCAGCTGCAGAGACTAAGTCCCATTCGGCGATGGGACTTAGTCTTTTTTTCAGCCGCTTTTTTCAGCCTTATTTCAGCTGCAGAGACTAAGTCCCATTCGGCGATGGGACTTAGTCTTTTTTTCAGCCTTATTTCAGCTGCAGAGACTAAGTCCCATTCGGCGATGGGACTTAGTCTTTTTTTCAGCCTGAAATAGACCGACCTCACAGCCCAAATCTATGGAACTGTTTTGGGCAGGAAAATGTGCTTGCGGTCGGTCATAAAGGGACCTCCAGCTAACTTTTTAACCCCTGGATGGATTTGGCTGATTTTTGGTTATGTTTATGTTTTAAGTGTGCTGATTCCAAATATGTAATTATGAAGATGGGATGTGTAGTTTTAAAGTTACAGGGTATGGCTAAAAACTGTATTTTTACTGCCTGTGTTTAATTATGTTAATCTCTTCCCAAACGTCATTTCGTTCAAAGTGGAGAGAATGTTAAAAAAATATAAAAAATATATTTTTGTTCGGAGTGTGAGAAATGCTTTTCAGCAGCTTCTAATCTTAAGCATCATTTGAGGAGCCATACAGGAGAGAAACCTTATTAGTGGTGTGTTTAGTATTGTTCTGATCAGTTTAATACCTTCCGCGTCTCCTATCAGTGGACGTGTATATGGCAGCCATTTTAGGAACCGTGCACCTGGGACCCGAGCAAGGTCACCTCGTTCAACAGGCGACAACATTTGTCCCTGGAAAACTATCCTGGACATTCTGTACAATTTGTATGGATATGGCAGTGATTTCTGTAACAGGGAGATGGAAGAAGATGCTTGGTCGGTCCTCTTAATTCAAATTTGGGGCACTGCGCGGTCAAGCTAATGTGCCACCAGATAGGAGTAGTGTGTTTAGTATTGTTCTGATCAGTTTAATACCTTCCGCGTCTCCTATCAGTGGTCGTGTACACGGCATTGATTTTTGTAACAGGGAGATGGAAGAAGAGGCTTGGTGGGTCCTCTTACTGCAAATTTGGGGCACTGCGCTGTCAAGCTAATGTGACACCAGATAGGAGTGGAGTGTTTAGTACTATTTTTATCAGTTTAATACCTTCAGCGTCTCCTATCAGTGG